GTCATGGAGACTGGGACCTTCCTGGGCGGCAACCGTGGTAGTGTGACTGCCCAGGACGGGGTGGGCCTGTGGACCCCGTAACACAGCCTAGGAGTGTTTCTGTTTCTTTTGTTTAACTTATAGCAAGCTTTTTGGGAGAAATTCTATATGTACTTTTCCTTGGTATATTATTCTGCACACTGTTGAAACCCATAGTATTTGTTCAGGTGAAACTTATCTCTGATTATGCATTTGGTTTCAGATTGGAGAAAACTTGCTACCCCTCTGGAAAAAGGTAATCGAATATCATCAGTGGAGAGAGTTAAGACGAGGTTGGACAGACACCTGTCAGGGATGGTCTAGATAGTGCTTGGTCTTGCCGTGAGGATCTTTTGAGGTCCCTTCCAGTTCTAGTATTCTATAAGTCTATGATTCTAATTGCAAAGTTTTTGGTGCAGGCTTATAGCAGAAATGGAATAATCTTCTGTGTTAAAATAAGTCTCTGGAATACATGCCCATGTAGGAAGGTCATCAGTCCTTTCAAACTTCAGCTGATAGCAAAGATCCTCCAGAGTTGACTAGCTGGATTGAATACAAATGGATGAACCCCCAGGGTCCTCTTTATATCCTTGTCCATGTGGAGGGAATCCCATTGTTCTCGCTGTGTAAAAGTATGTCTCAAAATAGAGACTGTCACATGAGCAAGTGATCTGTGCAGGTATGACTCATTCTTTTTTAGGCAGCAGACATTGTTCACATACTGGTCTGAATATTCGCAGCAAAGCTCATCTCATGTGGTGCATTGTCAGTCAAGTACTCCTATTCTAGCAACCCTTTCACAATAGGTTGGCAAAGCCTGTTGATGTCTCCCAGAAGCAAATATTTGAAATACATGTACTGAGGCAGAGCTCATAACTTCACATACAAAAAAGATACATGCATATGAACGGTGTAAATGGAATCAGGGCTCAAGTTTTCTATAGACATCATTTGGCACACTTTGTATAGGATTTGGTGTAAACATATAACAGTGGTTGCAACAATGATTTGTATGCTTATATCTCAATCCAGTAACATCAAGAGAGTCTTCTCTAGCCCCAGATCTGGAGTAGCCTGCCTGCTCTATCCCAAAGTTTGAGGTCCTCATCCCCAACTCAGCCCCACCCCAGAGCCTGCACAAACAGCCAAAGTCCTCACCCCCTTGACTCCAATCCTCTGCACCAGCCCTGTTCTCCTCTCATACCCCAAACCCTTCAGTCCCAGCCCAGATCCATAACCTTCACCCCCTGACCATGGCAATGCAGGGATAAGCAGGTGGGACTTGGTCCCATTTTGGATAGCACCAGAAATTATACAAACCTCCTGCCCCTGCCTCACATGGAATATATTCTATCACTGACATGCTGAAACCCTTCCCCAGGGCTGAGCTCTGCCCCTCACGCTCTGATTCTCTCTCCAGCGACTGTGACTCTGGACCCAGACACAGCTCATCCCGACCTTGCCCTGTCTGAGGATGGGAAACGCGTGCGACGGGGGGACATCCGGAAAGATCAGGACACCAATTCTGAGCGATTTGAATATGAGCGCTGTACTCTAGGTTGTGAGAGCTTCACCTCGGGGAGACATTACTGGGAGGTTGAATTGGGGGGTGGGGATTACTGGGCTGTGGGAGCTGCTAGCGACTCTGTGAAGCGGAAAGGAGAAATAATTTTTAAACCTGAGGAAGGGATCTGGGCGGTGGGCCATTGGGGGAATAAGTACCTGGCTGCCACTTACCCTCGCTCCCAGTTGAACTTGAGATGGGTCCCTAGAAGGATTCGGATTTTTTTGGATTATGATTTGGGGCAGGTGGCATTTTTTGATGCTGATAAAGGGGCCCTAATCTTCGCATTCCCAACAGCCTCCTTTTCTGAGGAGGGAATCCGCCCCTTTTTCTGGGTCTGGGATATGGAATCCCAGCTCAGACTGTGTCCCTGAGAATTAGGAAGAAAAATCCTGAGGGGCTATGTCTACACTGCGCTGGTTTTGCGCAAGAAATATGCAAATGAGGCTAGGCATGGAATATCACCATCTCATTTGCATGCCTAATGAGCCGCCATTTTTGTGGCATGGGCTTTTGTGCAAGAAGGAGCTGTTTACACTGCTCCTTCTTTCGCAAAAAAACCCTCTTGTGCAGAGCCGTTCTGCTGCTTATTTTCAGGAAGAATGGCTCTGTACAAGAGGGGTTTTTTTGCGCAAGAAGGGGCAGTGTAGACAACTCCTTCTTGCTCAAAAGCCTGTGCCACAAAATGGCGGCTCATTAGGTATGCAAATGAGGCACAGTAATATTCCATGCTTAGCCTCATTTGCATATTTACTGTGCAAAACCAGCACAGTGTAGACATAGGCAGGATGTCCTGCCTTCAGCCTGTTTAGCCTCAGACATCCCCATCCTAAGACAGTAGGGCTATGTCTAGGCTGGCATGATTTTCTGGAAATGTTTTTAACGGAAAAGTTTTCCATTAAAAGCATTTTCGGAAAAGAGCGTCTAGATTGGCGTGGACGCTTTTCCGCAAAGCACTTTTTGCGGAAAAGCATCCGTGCCAATCTAGACGCGCTTTTCCGCAAAAAAGCTTCGATCACCATTTTCGCGATTGGGTTTTTTTTGCGGAAAACAAATCTGGGCTGTCTACACTGGCCCTTCTGTGCAAAAGTTTTGCGCAAAAGGACTTTTGCCCGAACGGGAGCAGCATAGTATTTCCGCAAGAACACTGACAATCTTACATGAGACCGTCAGTGCTTTTGCAGAAATTCAAACGGCCAGAGTAGACAGCTGGCAAGTTTTTCCAGAAAAGCTGGCCAGTTTAGACACAGCCTAGAGGTCTTCCATGTGTCTCTAGAGCCTGTAATGCAAGGGTGGCCAACCCGTTAGAGACAAAGAGCCAAAATAGCGGTGGGTAGAGTGTGAAGAGCCACATACCGGGGGCGGGGAGGGCATGGGGTGTTGTTGAGAAACAAAATAAAGCCACACTCGGGGAAAATAGGTGCCGGTACACCGTCCCAGGGCATACCATCACAAAAAAAGCACTGGGAAGGCATGAGAGGTGCAAGCTCCGGGAGGGAATTTGGGTGCAGGAGGAAGTAGAGAAGAGGATTCTGGTTCAGGGAGGGGGCTCCAGGCTGGAGAGTGCTGGGGTCAGGTAGAGCGTTGGGGTGCTGAGCAAGCTGCAGGCTTGTGGCTGTGAGGGTGCGGGAGTTTGGGCTGGGGTGCGTGAGGGGATCAGGACACAGATTTGTGATGTGTGGATGGTGCAGGAGTGTTGTGGCAGAAGACTGGGGATGTGGGGGTGCAGGAGTTTGGGGATGAGAGAGGCTCAGGACAGGGGGTTCCAGTGCATGACAGGCTCAGGTTTGAGGTCTGGGTGTGTGTGCAGGAGTTTTATGATGCTGCAGCCAGATGGGGGTTTGGCCCCAGTGCTTGTTGGCCAGGATTCATTTTTCAATAAAATATTATGTCAAACACAAAATGTTTCAGTATTGTCTTTAATTACAAGAGGGGGGAACCTGTTTTGAGTCAGGGGTCACGGACCCACAGAAATGTCAGTCGGGGCCTGTGACGAACTGGGCCGGGTCTGGGCACCGCTGAGGGCATCTGCTCAGGGCGAACCGCTCAAAACCAGGGCTCCTTACAGCCCCTCACTAGAGACCGTCCTCTAACAGGCAACAAACCAGTCACACTGAGCAAAACCCCTCAGACACTCCAGCGCTCTCTGTGCCACAATCAGCTCCAGGCCTGACACCCAGCTGAGGGGTTATAGAACCCAATCTCACCTACCCCAAACAGGTCTTTTCGGTCCTAAAGAACCAGTCACAAATCCCCGGTCAATTTACATTCTGCATCTTACCCACAAGATCACGCTGAGCCAATCCTTTAGAATCTAAAATTGGTTTAATAAAAGAAAGAAAAGCGTGAGAGTAAGGCTGTTAAGGAGAATACATTACGTGCATCAAATCACCAAGTTCTCGATGCAGGCTCATAGCAAAGACGTTGTAACTGCTGGCTTAAAAGTCTCTGGTGTACATCCTATGTCAGGATGGGTCCACTGTTCTTCCCGGCTCGCTGTCCCTCACAAGGCTGCATCTGGGATCAGGAGCAGAATTGGAGACAAGATGGAGATTGCCTCATGGCATTTTACATCCATCCCTGGTCTCTTTCAAGCTGGAGCAGGTCACACGGCCCAGTGACCTATCCCTGTGTCCCAAGTCAGCAATCGTGATGCTGGCTGGTTTGCAGGACCCAGACACATTCCTCAGGTGTGTATTCACCTCTCTGAGAGCCTTGCCAATTAGCATACTCACTGACTGAACATTAAGACAGAGAGCATATTTATAACACCACAACATATCACACAAGTACATGAGTAACATATATAAAATCAGTGGCACACAAGCTTCCATTTGACATCTCACAGGGCCCCCTTTGTACAGCCCCCCCGGCAAGGTTAGTGGGGCCAACCGGGCGGGGCCGGCCCCCCCCCAGCCCCGGGGCGGGCAGCCCCGCGGGCGCCCCAGCCGGCCCTATGCCCCACAGCTGCAGGAGAGGGAGAGAACGCTGGGGGGGAGGGGAAACAGCTGGGGAGGAGAAGCTGGGGCCGTGGATGAGCACAGGTGTGAGTGTTCTGGAGGGGCGGGGCGGCACCTTCCCCAGGTATAAAGTCAGGAGAGGCAGAAGCAGGGGAGGAGGAGAAGGAGGACGCTGGAGTCAGAGACTGAGAGACACCGAGGAGGCGGCGAGACCAGCCAGCTGGTGAGCGGACGAGCGAGGGCGTGAGGAAGCAGCCCAGGGCGGGTGTACTGGAGCCCGAGGGTTGATGCGTTGCGGCTCCGTGCCCCATCAGCCAGGTCGGGGGAGAGAAGAGCATCTCCCCCACCTTAGGGCCCTGGGCTGGGGTCTGGAGAGAGGGAGGGCCCGGACCCCCCTCACCTCCTCGCTCGTGGGATCTTCTGGGTAACCACCGGGAGGGCCGACCCGGCGCCGCGTCATGGAGACTGGGACCTTCCTGGGCGGCAACCGTGGTAGTGTGACTGCCCAGGACGGGGTGGGCCTGTGGACCCCGTAACACAGCCTAGGAGTGTTTCTGTTTCTTTTGTTTAACTTATAGCAAGCTTTTTGGGAGAAATTCTATATGTACTTTTCCTTGGTATATTATTCTGCACACTGTTGAAACCCATAGTATTTGTTCAGGTGAAACTTATCTCTGATTATGCATTTGGTTTCAGATTGGAGAAAACTTGCTACCCCTCTGGAAAAAGGTAATCGAATATCATCAGTGGAGAGAGTTAAGACGAGGTTGGACAGACACCTGTCAGGGATGGTCTAGATAGTGCTTGGTCTTGCCGTGAGGATCTTTTGAGGTCCCTTCCAGTTCTAGTATTCTATAAGTCTATGATTCTAATTGCAAAGTTTTTGGTGCAGGCTTATAGCAGAAATGGAATAATCTTCTGTGTTAAAATAAGTCTCTGGAATACATGCCCATGTAGGAAGGTCATCAGTCCTTTCAAACTTCAGCTGATAGCAAAGATCCTCCAGAGTTGACTAGCTGGATTGAATACAAATGGATGAACCCCCAGGGTCCTCTTTATATCCTTGTCCATGTGGAGGGAATCCCATTGTTCTCGCTGTGTAAAAGTATGTCTCAAAATAGAGACTGTCACATGAGCAAGTGATCTGTGCAGGTATGACTCATTCTTTTTTAGGCAGCAGACATTGTTCACATACTGGTCTGAATATTCGCAGCAAAGCTCATCTCATGTGGTGCATTGTCAGTCAAGTACTCCTATTCTAGCAACCCTTTCACAATAGGTTGGCAAAGCCTGTTGATGTCTCCCAGAAGCAAATATTTGAAATACATGTACTGAGGCAGAGCTCATAACTTCACATACAAAAAAGATACATGCATATGAACGGTGTAAATGGAATCAGGGCTCAAGTTTTCTATAGACATCATTTGGCACACTTTGTATAGGATTTGGTGTAAACATATAACAGTGGTTGCAACAATGATTTGTATGCTTATATCTCAATCCAGTAACATCAAGAGAGTCTTCTCTAGCCCCAGATCTGGAGTAGCCTGCCTGCTCTATCCCAAAGTTTGAGGTCCTCATCCCCAACTCAGCCCCACCCCAGAGCCTGCACAAACAGCCAAAGTCCTCACCCCCTTGACTCCAATCCTCTGCACCAGCCCTGTTCTCCTCTCATACCCCAAACCCTTCAGTCCCAGCCCAGATCCATAACCTTCACCCCCTGACCATGGCAATGCAGGGATAAGCAGGTGGGACTTGGTCCCATTTTGGATAGCACCAGAAATTATACAAACCTCCTGCCCCTGCCTCACATGGAATATATTCTATCACTGACATGCTGAAACCCTTCCCCAGGGCTGAGCTCTGCCCCTCACGCTCTGATTCTCTCTCCAGCGACTGTGACTCTGGACCCAGACACAGCTCATCCCGACCTTGCCCTGTCTGAGGATGGGAAACGCGTGCGACGGGGGGACATCCGGAAAGATCAGGACACCAATTCTGAGCGATTTGAATATGAGCGCTGTACTCTAGGTTGTGAGAGCTTCACCTCGGGGAGACATTACTGGGAGGTTGAATTGGGGGGTGGGGATTACTGGGCTGTGGGAGCTGCTAGCGACTCTGTGAAGCGGAAAGGAGAAATAATTTTTAAACCTGAGGAAGGGATCTGGGCGGTGGGCCATTGGGGGAATAAGTACCTGGCTGCCACTTACCCTCGCTCCCAGTTGAACTTGAGATGGGTCCCTAGAAGGATTCGGATTTTTTTGGATTATGATTTGGGGCAGGTGGCATTTTTTGATGCTGATAAAGGGGCCCTAATCTTCGCATTCCCAACAGCCTCCTTTTCTGAGGAGGGAATCCGCCCCTTTTTCTGGGTCTGGGATATGGAATCCCAGCTCAGACTGTGTCCCTGAGAATTAGGAAGAAAAATCCTGAGGGGCTATGTCTACACTGCGCTGGTTTTGCGCAAGAAATATGCAAATGAGGCTAGGCATGGAATATCACCATCTCATTTGCATGCCTAATGAGCCGCCATTTTTGTGGCATGGGCTTTTGTGCAAGAAGGAGCTGTTTACACTGCTCCTTCTTTCGCAAAAAAACCCTCTTGTGCAGAGCCGTTCTGCTGCTTATTTTCAGGAAGAATGGCTCTGTACAAGAGGGGTTTTTTTGCGCAAGAAGGGGCAGTGTAGACAACTCCTTCTTGCTCAAAAGCCTGTGCCACAAAATGGCGGCTCATTAGGTATGCAAATGAGGCACAGTAATATTCCATGCTTAGCCTCATTTGCATATTTACTGTGCAAAACCAGCACAGTGTAGACATAGGCAGGATGTCCTGCCTTCAGCCTGTTTAGCCTCAGACATCCCCATCCTAAGACAGTAGGGCTATGTCTAGGCTGGCATGATTTTCTGGAAATGTTTTTAACGGAAAAGTTTTCCATTAAAAGCATTTTCGGAAAAGAGCGTCTAGATTGGCGTGGACGCTTTTCCGCAAAGCACTTTTTGCGGAAAAGCATCCGTGCCAATCTAGACGCGCTTTTCCGCAAAAAAGCTTCGATCACCATTTTCGCGATTGGGTTTTTTTTGCGGAAAACAAATCTGGGCTGTCTACACTGGCCCTTCTGTGCAAAAGTTTTGCGCAAAAGGACTTTTGCCCGAACGGGAGCAGCATAGTATTTCCGCAAGAACACTGACAATCTTACATGAGACCGTCAGTGCTTTTGCAGAAATTCAAACGGCCAGAGTAGACAGCTGGCAAGTTTTTCCAGAAAAGCTGGCCAGTTTAGACACAGCCTAGAGGTCTTCCATGTGTCTCTAGAGCCTGTAATGCAAGGGTGGCCAACCCGTTAGAGACAAAGAGCCAAAATAGCGGTGGGTAGAGTGTGAAGAGCCACATACCGGGGGCGGGGAGGGCATGGGGTGTTGTTGAGAAACAAAATAAAGCCACACTCGGGGAAAATAGGTGCCGGTACACCGTCCCAGGGCATACCATCACAAAAAAAGCACTGGGAAGGCATGAGAGGTGCAAGCTCCGGGAGGGAATTTGGGTGCAGGAGGAAGTAGAGAAGAGGATTCTGGTTCAGGGAGGGGGCTCCAGGCTGGAGAGTGCTGGGGTCAGGTAGAGCGTTGGGGTGCTGAGCAAGCTGCAGGCTTGTGGCTGTGAGGGTGCGGGAGTTTGGGCTGGGGTGCGTGAGGGGATCAGGACACAGATTTGTGATGTGTGGATGGTGCAGGAGTGTTGTGGCAGAAGACTGGGGATGTGGGGGTGCAGGAGTTTGGGGATGAGAGAGGCTCAGGACAGGGGGTTCCAGTGCATGACAGGCTCAGGTTTGAGGTCTGGGTGTGTGTGCAGGAGTTTTATGATGCTGCAGCCAGATGGGGGTTTGGCCCCAGTGCTTGTTGGAGTGTGGAGATTTGGGAAGCTTAGGAGAGGGGGTTCCAGTGTATGATAGGCTCAGATTTGAGGGCGGGGGGGGGGAGGTGCAGTAGTGTTATGACACTGCAGGCAGATGGGGTGGGGAACCTGTTTTAAGTCAACGGTCACTGACCCACAGAAAAGTCAGTCACAAGTGAGATGCAAAAACCCAACCCCCTCCCTCAAGTCTCACTTATGTGGCCCCAACTGTGCTGGGGGGGAGGGAGCACGGAATAGGGTGCTGGTGGTTGCTGGGGAAGGTGGCAGGGTGCTGGGGCAGGATTCTGTTGGGGGGTAGGGGACAGGGAGTTGGGCAGGGTGCTGGTGAAAGCAAGGGGCAGGGTGATGGGGCGGGGGATCTGGCCAGGGAGAGGGGACAGGGACAGCTGGGGTCAGTACCTGGGGATCCTGCACCTGCACACCAGGGCTGGGGTCTCAGGAAGCATGTGCACTGCTTCCCCCTCCCCCAAACAGCCGGCGTGTTTCCTTAACAGCCAGGTCTGTGGCACACCAGCGACTTCCTTCTCCTGCTGCCTACCTGGGGGGGTGGGGGAGGAGTGGGAGTCCGAGGACCGTGCCAGCTCCAATGGCTCAGGAAGCACGCACCTTGCTCCTTGCTCCACAGGACAGCCACGTGGTTCCTGGGCAGTTGGAACTGGCATGGTGCAACTCCCCTTCCTCCCCCCCACTCTCACCCAATTCCCCCTCTCCTCTCCTCCCTCAGAGCCAAGCCCATCCCACTCCAATCCAATCCAAACCCCCTCCTCTTCCGCAGAACAAGCACATCACCCCCACTCTAACCTAAGGCCCGGAGCCAGAGCCGCTGCTGCTACCACTACGCACAGCTCCCTCCAGGTGCTGGGGTGCATGCGCTGAGTGGCTGGCCTTGAGCATGTGCTGGCTGGGATGCCAAGCAGACATGGGGGGCTGTGAGCAGAGGATACTGTGCACGGGGGAGGGACAGCTGTCAGCAAAGCAGCAGGCTGTGAGCATGTGCTGGAATGTGGCTCAAAGTGGCCCAGCCATGAGCAGCCTTGTGCAGAGCGGCCAGTCTGAGCAGTACCGTCAGAATGTGCAATTTTTTAATCAAAGAGCCGCATGTGGCTCGTGAGCCATGGGTTGGCCATCTCTGCTGTAATGAATAGACTATATACATTTGTGGAATCAGGTAGGCTCTTCAGACTGTAATAGCAATTGAGAGTGTCATCGGTCAGGCATCCTGATGGGTTCCTGATAGGTCTTCTGCTCCATCAATGATGATAAACTTTCAGCTGCATGCATATGTGCTCCTCTGTCTCATGTATTAACCATGCGCAAATAGTCAACATGACAGGCTCTGACAGAGCCCCCGAAGACCACAAATCAGAGAAGAATGAAAGGCACCAAGTAAAGTACAGTCATTGTTGCTAGCAAACACTCACCACTGTGCCACTAAACATATATATGCAGTGACAATGGACTAATTCAATATCTTGGATCCAGCATTACCCCCTCGTTCAGCCAATGACCATTCTTTGAGGTTCACTTTTATACAGAGATACAAACAAGTTATACCTCACACCTGAGCTATCAGGTTGCCGTGTTCTGTTGCCTACTTACCTTCCCTTACCCAGTACAAGAGGGAGTTGATCACTGTCTATCATGCTGTCAGTTTAGACCTGGTCATGGATCTGGGTTAATATGCGGGGGAGGAGGTTGTTTCCAAGATGTCTCTTAATGAAATGTTCATTTACCATCTCCCCTTGAAATATTCTAACAACCTGTACCTGACTCTCTATTGTTTGATACACTCAACCTTATTTATGCTTAATCTTATTAACTAAGCTTGCCTCCTGCTCACAACTTGACTCTGATCTGAGCAAAGTCTGGGCCATCACTGTCTAGGCCTCAAGCCTCACATCAGGCCTATGCCACGTGGGCTTAAGTATCAGACCCTCATCTTACTACAGAGAGCAGAGATGCAGAAAGAAAAGCCTGCACTTGCCGCAGGCTGCCATCCGGGGGGGTCAATCGGGGCTGTCAGGATCCAGGAGGTCCTGCAGGAGAGCTTCCACCCTGAGGAGCCCACAGAGCCACCCCAGTCCTCCCCATTGGGGGCTCGTGCCCCATTCCTCCTTCACCTCCTTCCACTTACCGCTCCCTAGTCCCCCTTCCTGATGTAAAAATAAAGGACACGTGTTCAAAAACAGAAACTCTCTTTATTTAACAAAATTGAGGGTGGGGGGGGGGGATTAACCCCTGGAGATACTGGGAAAAGGGGGGGGGAGGGGGGGGGGGGAAACCTGGGGGGGGGGG